GGGGCCTTCCGTCGGTTTCTCTGAGTGTATTGCGGCTCGTTGAAGGATTTTTCTGGGCTTAACTGGAGAAATATGAACTTACAATAGGAGAAAAGTGGAAAACATCCCCAAGAGAACGCAGTCGAGGGCGGATCGCTGCAGAAAGACACAAGGAGACCTCTTTCGACAAAACCGCCACCGCCGCTGCCGATAGCCTCCCTGTGCTTTTTGCTGCAGCCGCCCCCGGGGCCCAACGCATTGACTCTTATTGGCTCAATTTTTGTCATTTATGTTATTTGTTCCATGGCAGACACTTTGGGGCCTTTCGTTATTGCGTTTAGCCGTTGGCATGCCTTCGGGCTGCCTAGGAATGTGCACCTGCGCCTTAGGCTCGCGATTCATCGAGTGTTTTGGAAAAATTTAGCGTTGTCACACGCACGAGGAGTGCACTGCATGAGTTTGACCTCAATTAGAGCAAAATTTACAGTTTTACTAGCTCAAAACGCACATACACGCATACGTGCAACCGCTGCAACAACACAGGCAGTCAGAGAAAGGAGCGGAAACGCGCTGCACTGCGCTGCACATTTCTTCACGCCTCCTCAACCGGTACAGAACTTGCATTAACTTACTCTACAATAAGCATGTTTTAGAGAGGATATTTATTACCCCCAAGTTCACCGGAACCCGTTAGAAAAACACACGCATGACGGGAAAACGTGGCGTGTGGCGGAGGGTTGCTGCTTATGCGCGGGCAGAAAAACACTGTGCGCAGGCTGTATTGGTTCACTGCCTGTTGTTCGTCTTTATTTCAGTCAGAGCAGCAGAATGCAATTAAACGACAGAGCAGGAGAAAGATAAGTGACTTTAGCTACTTTTTCGTGTTGACGCAGCTGCTGCAAAAAGGAACGTGAGGGGCGGCAGCAGCAGCCCCTGTTGGCGTGGCCCCACAAATTGCCCTCAGGCTCGTTGGTGGTTTAGGTGTGTCTGTTTGGCGGCGGCGTCTTCTTCCTTTTTTCTTCTCTTTGCTTATTTGGGTTTGATTTCCTTTGGGGGGTTCCATTTGTTCTTATGCAGTAGCCGTGCGCTGAGCCCAGCGCAGCGCGACGGCCCCTTCGTCACGCCCCGACGGCAGTCAGTGCTTCGGCATCCCACTTTGGGGTTTGTTGCGGCACTGAGGATCTGAGTTATATTATATTGGCGTTCTTTCTATCTGCAGACAAGGCAGGTGGCCGTCTGTAGTTGAAAATGACATAACGTGGCTGCTCCTCTGCGGCCACGCGCCCCTCCTCCCTCTTCCCCGTTCCCCCGTCCCCCCTTTTCTTTCCTCTGCGGTTCCTCCAGCGAAGCATTCCTGCCCATGCGCGCGGCTTCTTTGTGTGGGGTGTGAGCGATTTGCAACCGTGTGAGGGAGGAGGGAAGAGAAGCGGGGCGTCGGAAACCATGGCGGGCTGCTCCTGCCGCCCGCTAGCGGCTCGGGCCTTGGGCCCCTTATCTCCAGTCCGTCTCTGGCGCTACGGCCAGACTGTGCACGGGACACTCGGCCTGAAGCTATCAATAATGCTGGTGAGTGTTTTTTTTGGCTTGAAGGGGGTTCTGGACTCGCTGACGATCGAGGCGCTACTCCCTCTCTTTCGAGAACTAAACTATGACGGCGTGGCGTATCAGCGCACCCTGGCGATGGCGCTCACGCCGTATGCCCTCAAGGGGTTTATAGGCAGCGTGAGCGACTACTTCCCCATTGCGGGGTACCACAAGAAGTACTACATGTTGGGCTCGAACCTGGTGGGCTTGGGTTGCGCCGTGGCGTTGGTGACGCTACCCGCGCGGGTAACGAGCAGCAGCATTATGTACGTGGGGTTGTTGTATTGCGGCATTCACCTGCACATCTCAACAGCAGACCTGCTCTGTGAGGGCGTCTACTGCAAGGTGGTGCAAGCCCATCCAGCGGTGGGTGCAAAGCTCGTTGCCTTTCTCTCCTTCTGTAACTCCACAGGCCACTTGGTGGGCAAGACGCTGGTGGGCCCCATCAGCGACGCCTTTGGAACGGCACCTCTTTTGTACATGACGGTGCCGCTGGTGCTGCAGACGCTCGCACCGATCCTCTTCAACTTCTTGGGGGAGAGCAAGGCAGAGGCTCGGGAGATGGGCAGCGCCCTGACGCGAGACAGAAGCCATCGCGGTGTCTTTACAGTTGCAGTTCTCACATCTGTCAGCGCATGCGTTGCGCTCGTGCTCACGCTGCAGACGTGGAGGGGCTGGGCTGTTGTGTTCACTGTCTTTGTCGTGGTGCTGCTGGGGGGCGCCTCCTGTTACTTGCTGTCGAGCCGGCTTGCTCTGTGCGCAATGTTTTTCTTCGCGGATCGGGTGTTGCATTTGACGATATCGGGAGCTGTGAACTTTTATTATATTGCGCCTCCGTCTTGCGTTCCCGATGGACCCAACTTTGACTACACATACTTCTGTACGTACACCGCACTGGTGGGGGCGATAGGCTGCTGGTTCGGCATCTACGCCTTTCAAAAATGGTTTAAGGGCTGGAGCGCCCGCACTATATTTTGGCTGACCAACACAGTGCGGATTCTGGCGGCCTTATTTGACTATGTTATCATCCGGCGGTTGAATATCCGCATCGGCATTCCCGACAAAGTTATGTTCATGCTGGGGGATGCAATCGTATACCATTTGCTGCTCACTTTGTCGTGCATGACCAGCTCGCTCACGGTTGCTCGTTCGTGTCCTCCCAAGCTCGAGTCCACGGTATATGCAATCGTTTCGGGAGTGACAAACCTTGGCAGCACGTGCAGCAAGATGCTTGGGGCTGTAGCCATCGAGATAGCCGGGATTCAAATGAAGGAGACGGCGCCTGGAGGCTGCGACTTTCACACGCTACCCAACTTAATCCTTGTCTCGCAGTGTCTTCTGCCGTGCGCATGCATACCTCTGGCTTACTTCATGCTTCCGAAGGAGCCCCTCAACTCCGCTGTGCCGCCGCAGCAGCGCAGACGCAGCAAAACCGTCTCCAAAGGCAGTAACACCGACCAGAGCAAGACGCCATGCAACGCACCCCAAGGCAGCCCCACTGCAGAGCCACCCTGCGATGCTGCTTCGGAGACACTGGCGCTGCACGAGTCGGTGGGGGAGAAAGAGGAAATGGCGGTGGTGGCCGGCGACGCGGGCTCAAGGCCCCGTATCGTTGAAGTCTAATAGACGCACAGCAGACACAAACAAAGCGAGGCAACAACAAGTGGGTCTAGCGGATGATGAACGCAGGATCCCCTTGTGCTTTTCTTGTTGCGTTTGAATGTTCCCATGCTCTACTGTTTCCTCTATTCGAGTTTGTCGCAGCTGCGGCCCATGCATTCCAGGGCCCCTTATTTTGTGGGCAGAGGACACGGGAGAAAGGAGAGAACAAGGGATGGCGATACCCTGGCCGTCAACAACAAAAGCAGCAGGATGGAATGACTGTGTTCGGGCGCTCCACTTGGGGCTGGCCCCTTGTCTGTCTTCTTCGCGCCCCTGGCTGCCGTCTTGGATGGTTTGACTTCGGCGCTGCCTTCCGCTTGATCCGCTTTGGGGGTTCATTGCCCTTGTACCGCTTATTTCGCTGCGATGAGGACTTCTTTATTTTCTGTTCATGTGGCGGATATATATTTTCTTGAATCAATGGGGCTCGGACGTGTCAACTGGGCTGCGCTTTCGCACAAGGGCAGTTGCATGCTGCTCTCACCCGTGTTAGGGTGTATCTGGTAGACGTGCGAGGCGGCAGTATTGGTGGCGCATTCAGATGAATTGCACCGGGATTTCTTTATATGATGCATCCTCAGTATTTCTTAAAAGCTCTAAGGATGACGGAACTTTTCCTTTAAATCTGGCGTTAGACACCTCGCGTCCCCTCTTAGCTGACACTATACAAGTACATCAGAGGCCAGCAACGTGAAGTCGACTCTGTGAGAGCACTCGACCCACATGTCTGCCTACAGCTGAACACTGAGAATGCGCGTGCTTTTAAGATGTCTGTAAATGAGCAAAAGCGCGTCACGTCGTGATCGTCACCACAGGAAGTCCGACGGAGTGGAGGCCAGAAAGACGGTAGGTCGGCGGCGTGTGAGGAAGTCGGCAAATAATCTATTGTCAAGCAATGGGGGATAAGTACGTCGATAATACCTGAACGCACTTCCTTTCGGTCTGAACCGAAAGAGGAATGCGTCAGTGGTGAAAATTCAGGTGTTGTGATGATCCGGCGGTGGATAGGACTGTTCATTTATTGTAAATTAGCTTCTTTTTTGTTCACATATAGTGCGCAGCACCACACAAATATATAGAAGTTATGAGAACTGATGGGGAACTTACTCAAGGGGGAATTGAGGGCCCTACCCGTCTCACGTTGTTGCAGGGCTACAGTGTTGTATGCACCCAATGCGCCAATATCTAGTATAGTATAGTATATATATATATATATATATATATATATATATATATATATATATATATATATATATTAAATGCACTACTTATAAATACAGTCTATATATATAGTAAAGCTTGCTCTTTGCCGTGAACAACATGAACTTCTGACGACTTGTTCTTAGCAACGCACGCCAAGGCAACTCGAAACAGCTTGTTTCCGGTAACTCGGGTTGCCTGCTCAAGCTAGAGGGAATGAGCAAGTAGTTACACGAGCTGCTGCGAATCGTACGGTTCCGCAAGAAGAAGTGACTAGGGGACTATCCAAGACTCCAGCCACCGTTTTCCATCTCTTCGCACACCGGCGCTAGTGTAACGGCG